TTTGTAGGTGAACTGTAGAGGAGTGTTGTTTACCAAAACATTTGTGTTACAACATTGCTTCTCCTGCCCTAACCCTCTAGGTTGCACCGTATGTAAAATCATACCTACCTATGATATATGCCATGTTTCTCCTTTCTTTCCAGCAAGATGCTGATTGGAGGAATGACGTAGACCTGAATTAGCTAGGTATATGTGGGGTTTATTTTCTTTTCATTGAGTTTTCAACATGTGATACCAAATTATGAAGAATCTGTTAAAGCAAAAGCAGAAACAAGCTTCCCCCTCCCAAATCAACTACTCATGGTAAACTGGAAATAAAAAAAAAAAATAAAAAAGAAGCTTTGTCAATTAAATGTGTTTGATCCTTAAAAATGAATGAATAAGCAAAGACTTGATGGAAATATGTGGGCCTTTTTAATTGTAAAGGTTATTTCAGCATGCATCTACATCATGCATACCTACTTAATTGCTGTAGTGGTTTATGGTAGTGATGCTGCTAGATGAACTGTCTATAATGACTCTTTCAGCAATGCAACAATGCTCATGAAAATAATAGCGTGGATTTAAGCTTTGTGTAGGCATTTCTATGGGAATGTGGCTTTTTTGGGGGGGTGAAAATACTCTCTACAACAACTGAACCAAACCCAGGATGCCTGAAAGCAGATTCTGACATACCATGTTACACACTACTGGCTGGATTTCTCGTGGGAAGAAGAGTGAAGCCTTGCCAGACCAATTTATTATCTGTTTCTTAAAATTACAGACAACAGGCTTGATGTATGAAAATCTATGCAAATAATGTGGGCCTGATCTGATGCACTGTGTGCTGAGCCAGCCATGATAGGGTTGTGAACATGTGTTTCTAGTTCCCAGAACTGTGAGCGTACATTGGATTCATGGACTTCTAATGTGGTGCTACTTGGCTTTCAGCATATGGTGTAACCGTGTCCCTAATCTACTACTTCTTCAAAATATTTACAAACTGTGCAATTGGAGATTGCTAAAAATCAGGCAGTGCTTTCTGGTTTGGAGCATGTTAAGTAAAATCTGACTGGATTGAATATACAGGTACAAATACAAGACATTGTCATTTCTACTATAGGGTTAAGTATGTCGCATCCATGACCATGGCACATTACAACTGTTTATGCAATTCATTCACCAGATGGGGCAAGAAACCTGTCCGAACTATGCAGATAGTTGTCTTAATTACACTAGGAGTACAATCGACAGCTTCCCCAGCACACGAGGATCGCAGGACTTCTCACTTAGATAAAAATCTACTGTATTTGTATCACTGGACTTGCTATGGTCTGATGCTTAATTTGGTGAAATTATTCAGGACTGACACAAGATTAACTGAAACCAGAATATGGTTCAAGAAAAAAGGTTATGTCTTTTTTCAGCCTGGAGAAGAGAAGGCTGCGGGGAGACCTGATTGCGGCCTTTCAATACCTAAAGGGGGCCTATAGGAAAGATGGGGAACGTCTTTTTAGTAGGGCCAGCTGTGACAGGACAAGGGGTAATGGTTTTAAACTAAACCAGGGTAGGTTTAGACTGGATATAAGGAAGAAATTCTTTACAATGAGGGTGGTGAAACACTGGAACAGGTTGCCCAGAGAGGTGGTGGAGGCCCCATCCCTGGAAACATTCAAGGCCAGGTTGGATGGGGCTCTGAGCAGCCTGATCTAGTTAGCGGTGTCCCTGCTCCTGCGGGGGGGTTGGACTAGATGACGTCTAGGGGTCCCTTCCAACCCAAAACATTCTATGATTCTATGATTTTATGCCTTTGGCAGTTCACTCTTAACACTAAAAAGTAAATAATGATTATGATGACTGCTGGGAGGAAGTATGAAAGCTGCTTAAGGTTCTCAGAATTAAAATTAAAAAAATCATAAAATTAAAATGAACATTAAAAAGGGTGGCTTCTATTTCCTTTTTAATTCCTACGACAGCTGCTTAAATATTTTTGATGAATCTAGCCCCCAGCCATTTCAGTCGTAAGGAGTTTCACTCTAAAACATCGGTAAAGGAAGGCAGGATTTGTTCTTTGAATCCGATGTGTTTTGAGCCATTCAGTCTGAAATGGGACCAGCAGCATGCAGGCAGCTCTGAGGGGGAATTAAATGTGTGAAGAAAGATCGATTAGGCATGAGACTGGTAATGAATGACTGAACATATAAGCTGATAAAATGGAAGTTTACAATCACTAAAGCATTTGACTACTGCAGAAAATTTTTAGGAATTAGCTACATGTTTCCAAGTTAATGTCAGCCTAAAGGCAAAGACTGTTGCATATAATGATCATCAGAAAGGTTATTTAGAGAGAAAGTCTGTTTTTTCATGGGGATAAAGCACTCATTATTGTGCTGCAAATTCTACAAATTATTGTTTGGGGTTTTTTTTAAAGCAAGTCTTATAATTTCTAATGGCTACACTGTATTAATTAAGCATTAGTTCCCCAGTAGTGCACTCTTCTGTTGTGTTCCTGTCATAGCTCGCAGCTAACTTCAGTAGTGGGAATTTCTAATAAGAAGTACACACTGGTAACTATATCTAATTAATCTTTGAATTTAAGCACATCTCCAAGGCTTTTGAAACCAAATACAGGATAAAGTGATTTGCAGAACCATGACCATGACACCTATAAAATAGAACTGGAGGTAGATTTTCCTAACAAAAAAAAATCATTAAAAAGGCCTGAACATAAACATATACCATACATAAAAGAAGAAAATAATTCCTACCCAAAATCAATAACCAAATTTTATCAGGGTCTTTTATTTTCTTTTTTGATGAGGGAAGTCATAGCTAAAAGGTTATTCCAAAGAGTGGAAGATTGATACCAGAGTAAATCTCAATCACTACTGCAGATATCTTGTGCTATTCCCTTTAGAAACAGGCTGAACATCCTTCCTTTACCATAACTGACCTGTCTCATGTACTAAAGGCAAAGTACTTGAATATGTTGTGGAATAAAGACCTGGATGGAGAATTTGGTCAGATGGGATGACATTTAATAGTTTGAAACAGCAAAATAGGACATGGAAAATGCGTAATATGGACCATATTCTAAATGCCACAGAGATTTCAATATGGTGACATAGCCATATGATGATCTATCTTTTCTCTTTGTTATAACAGCTCTCTTTTTACAGGATATGTGTGCACAAATATTGAGTATGCCTGGTGTATATCTGCATAGACTTATAATTTAATTCCTTTTTATCATTTCTGTGTGACTTTTCTGTTGTCTAATCTGTTTGGATAAACAACACTCCACTTCATAACACATATATAAATGCAAGTTCAGTTTATACACACCCATTTATAAAGTTGCAAAAAAATATGAAAAAAATAATGGCAGCGAATGAAACAGAAAATATGATGTTTTCTCTTGGATTTGGTGGCTAACTATACACATAGGAAAAACATCAGTAAAACCCAGTCACCATATTGATCAAAGATGACGAGGATGTTTTATAGTCTAGTTAAATCACTGGAGTCTATGGCATGCTTTGCTTCATATGCGAGAGATGTGCAGCAGCCACCAGACATGCACTTAGCAGGTTGTAATCAGAACTAGCTCTGCACAACTCGGGTGCTAATTACAATCTAAGATTCAGTGGGCGACTTCCCAGCAGCACATACATAGGAAGTCTTCATGCAAGCCCTAGGCAAACCATGCATACAGTTAACCTATTCACTAGACTTTCTCCTGTGTTTTAATTCTGAGAAATAGCCACCTACAGAATGAATTTAAAACCTCCTTTTTTTTTTTCCTGTGGAAACACAGTTTAGAGCAAACTTCAAGGGCAGTGCTTTCAGTAAGTGGATGACTGACTACTGAGATGAAAAAGTGAGGTAAAATATTATCATTTTGTGTAAATGCAAACAATACAATAGGAAAGGAGGGAAGAAAAATAGGCAGCTGGAGGACATATTTTTCCCTGAAAACTGTCCTTTAGATGGATGTCATCATTATACTATGAGTGTGGCTACTTAGGGTGAAACAGAGGACTGGATAATTTTTTTAAAAAGTACTACAAAATAAGGGCCTCCTACTTCACCCTGGCATCTTTTATTTTTATTTAAGGTTTGCATGAGTTCCCTTTTTTCACCAGGAATCCAGTGCTAAAGCAAATAGTCTTACCTGTGTTTATGAGTGCTAGAAAGCACTAGAGCTCACAAAAAATTGCAAAGCAAATGCGCACCATGTTTAGGCTGAAAAGCCAAGAAAACACGGAATGTGCTGCCACATATCCTAGTTATTCAAAATTATTATATATTTGATATTTTACATGGAGAATGACTGCATGCACTCAAAATGGGAATGACGCCCATCTCAAATGGCCAATCTCTGTCCTCTAATGAGGTAGAAACTAAAGAAAAAAAAGGATGTTGGCTTTTAAAAAATGTAAACCACAAAGAAAGTTTTAAAACGTCTAAAGGAAAATTTTAGGATTTGTTATGCACTTTTAGGAAATTCTAGCTGTGTGGGGGAATTGCTTAAGTTGAATGCATTCAAGGTTACAGAAACATGAACATAAGCAACTTGAGGAGGTCTTCCTAAATTAGAATTCAGAGTAAGGTTAATGAAATCTTCTCTCCAAATCTCATTGCTTTCCATGAACTTTGGACCATGTCCCTGGAACCTATGAAGCACAGCAGACTGTCCTACAGTATAATAATATTTGTGCCCGGTCAGTATATTAATTTCCAGGTAACTGACCTGTAAAGAAATTTTGATTTTTTTAATCTTGTATTTATGCTTTTTTTTTTTCTTAGGCCTTTTAAAGAAAGGTGAAAGCTGGCACTAAAATGCACTTTAGTGGCTTTTGGATTAAAAAAAATAGTCAAAACCAACCAAATAAATTTAATAGATCCTTTGACTCTTTTTGAAAATCAAATTACTTCAGCTGAGGCGTCTTTTTGACTTTGTCTTTTTTCCTATGTGTATATTAGAAATCTAGATTGATTACTGCTTTGTTTGTACTTACAAGTAGATGCTGGATTCATTGCCCCCGATATCAGGTGACTGGAGTTTCTGCACAAGTATCACAATTATGCCAATAAAAAGCACAAAGTTTATCTAGGGGGAAAAAGAAAGGAAAAAAATGATAACAATGATATATTTTTTCAAGTATGAGAATGAGATATTCCCAGTGACTCGCTGGCTCCATTGCCTTATTCTCACCAAACTGCAGTCTAGAAGTTTTATAGGGTCAGGAGGAACGAGGTAAGTTTACAAGCATCTTATCACCTCTTTTCCAGGAAAAAACATCCTCCTTGCAGCAGCTAAAGTAAGGCAGAATTGCTTCAGTCCCAAGCACCAGATAAGACAAACATAAGCAAAAATGTTTCAACATTTTTCATTATCAACCAGTGCAAGCAAAAAAAGAAAGGTCCCTGCACATCAAAACCACATAGCAAAGATCTCAACAGTAAAAACATCTTTATCTCCCACTCTCTGAACTAAGGCGTTTCTCAGGTTAGCAGCATCTTATGTCACTTTGCCTCTGCTTGGCTGAATCTATACCAAGATGAGATGGCCTCTAATGTTTTTGGGAGGGGAGGAGAGCATGTATGTGTTTAGTGTTCTTCTTCATGTCTTTTAGTTTCATGTCATCCTGGGTATCTCTTTTGTAGAATCATGTAATTACAGGTATATTTTTCAAAATTTGGAGATTAATGAAATGAGTTTGGTTTTATGCTTTGGCTACAGATTAACACCAGAAGAAAGCAGTGGCGAATTTAAGTTGGTCTCATGCAGCCTTTTACTCCTATAAGGAGACCGAAAACTTAAACTAAATGTGAGCATCTCTTTCAGAAGTATTTTCTATCTGATCTGAGGACTATAACTGAACTGAGAAGCCCAGTCATCCCCTGCTAGTTGCCTGAAGGCTGCCTGGCGGAAAAAGACCTGGGGGTATTGGTTGACAGCCGGCTGAATATGAGCCAGCAGTGTGCCCAGGTGGCCAAGAAGGCCAATGGCATCCTGGCCTGTATCAGGAATAGTGTGACCAGCAGGACAAGGGAAGTCATCAAAAATGTTTCAACATTTTTCATTATCAACCAGTGCAAGCAAAAAAAGAAAGGTCCCTGCACATCAAAACCACATAGCAAAGATCTCAACAGTAAAAACATCTTTATCTCCCACTCTCTGAACTAAGGCGTTTCTCAGGTTAGCAGCATCTTATGTCACTTTGCCTCTGCTTGGCTGAATCTATACCAAGATGAGATGGCCTCTAATGTTTTTGGGAGGGGAGGAGAGCATGTATGTGTTTAGTGTTCTTCTTCATGTCTTTTAGTTTCATGTCATCCTGGGTATCTCTTTTGTAGAATCATGTAATTACAGGTATATTTTTCAAAATCTGGAGATTAATAAAATCAGTTTCTTTTTATGCTTTGGCTACAGATTAACACCAGAAGAAAGCAGTGGGGAATTTAAGTTGGTCTCATGCAACCTTTTACTCCTATAAGGAGACCGAAAACTTAAACTAAATGTGAGCATCTCTTTCAGAAGTATTTTCTATCTGATCTGAGGACTATAACTGAACTGAGAAGCCCAGTCATCCCCTGCTAGTTGCCTGAGTCTTTCACACCTTCAATAGAAGCCACATATAACTGATTCCCCAAAGCCCAAATATGATTCTTCATAGAATATGTCTGTAAAACATGGAAATTCACATAAATCGATATCACAAAAACCCCAGACCACTGGACCCTCTCCATCTCCATACCCTTCAATGTTATTAGATGAATTACCTTTAATGTGTCTGAAGGCTACTGTACTTTAGAACGCTGTCCAAATATTTAAAAGAAGAAGCGTCGAACTTGATGAAAACACCTAAATGTAGATAGCTACCTGTGAGCTGGATGTCTAAATTCCCACAACACCCAGTGAAGACCTGGCCAGTGCTGTCACTGGAGTATGGAGAGCAACTAAGCATGACCAGAAAAAGTCACCTATATGTGGTAAGCCAAACAGCTTTTCAGGTGCCACTAACCATATTGTATAGGGGCTCAATTTAATTTCCTAACTGGAGGAGCCCAACACCATTTTTAAATCCCCATATTCTTTTGTGGCAGCAGCTATAGCCCAAACAGAGTACTTTAGAACCTCTCAGTCATCCATACACAGGTATCTAGCACCGTTTGAGTCAAATCCAAGACCTCCAAGAGCTTAAATAGGTGGCTGACAATTGAATATCTTGTACTATGTCCACTTAACTATTATAAAGTTAATATTTGATAAATAAAGGTAGCTGTGAAATTAATTCCATTCAACACAGTCCAGTTTCCCAGTCACTGGCATCTAGTATTGTTTGAGATACCCTGGGCTGTCCCACTTGGCCTCCAGCTACCACACCAAATGGCACAGGATTCCCATACAACCTGTGTCATATCTGCCAGCCCCAGGAAAATCCTCCATATGCTCTAGGGTATTACTTACGGCATTTGGTATCCATGTTTAAGCAACTGAATAACTCCTTGTCTACATAGTCTTTCCTTGCCGGCAGTGCACTAACATTTAACTTGTACAAAACCTCCTTTATAACGGTGGAATTACTTAGCATTGTTGATGGCAAATGGCAGACATTCAGACAACCTGTCCAGTAGTTCAGCACAGCAGATGCAGCATTATTTGTAAAGCCATTCGAAGCTATGCACATAGGTTATTTTCCCTCAGAAGCATTGAGGAAGCACCTCCCCCAAGTGCTACTTACCATGATTGATCCAACCACAGGACCCTTGATCACCCACCACAAGGCGGTGTTGTCATTCATGTCCCAGCAGCTGCAGACGTTAATGAAAGAATGGGGTGGGGAAAGAGAAGGAAAGAGAAAGATAAAGATATAATGAGGAATTTAATAAACCTACAATTTTTAAGGGGGCAGAGATTGGGAGATTGGTCTTGTAGCTAAATTTGGGTTCAAAGGTACTAGTTCTTTAGTCTGTCCCCATTATATATTTCTTTTACAGCCTTTAGCCAACTTATCTGAAAGTAAAATAAGTAATTTTGTGGCAATTTCAATGGTACCTCTAATCAAGCAGTTTCACTATTTTGGAAAATGCCTCTATGCATGTTTCTGTGTCTACAGACAGTACAACCGAAAAATTTGTCCCTTTAAGCTAACATCTCAGTAGAAGGGAAACAAAGACAGGGATACCTCAAAGGGTAAGAGATGGTTATTCCAAAGTTTGATGTCTCAGCTACTTTTCCCTAGTGAACAGATACAAATGTTGGTTCCTGACCTTGATGTGAGGATTCTTACACATATCTAGTACATGAGGTTGTACTAGAGACCAGTTGTATTCACATATAGGAATGATTTTCCAGTCATTGGGTTGCAAGTTCTACCATGGAGCAAGGATTCATCTAAGAAGGTTCAACTACTGGACAACAGTTGGTGTCAGCTCCTTTTTAAGCTGTTGAGAGTGAGTGATCATAAATAAAATGACATTTCTACCTCAGCATTTAAAATCCTCCAGATTCACCAAAGAATTCTGCTGAAGTTGATTCCATATAAATGAATTTGGACATTCACGTGTAGACAAAGCTAATTACAGGACCCATACATATATGGGGTTTTTAACTTTAACATATATTTTTAAAGAGAGAAAAACAATAATAATGAAAAAAAAATCTTATTTCCCCTGTCACACCACCCCAAATACACTATTTTAAATCAATAAGAATTTGATTGTCAGTTAAAAAAAATCTTTTTTTTTTTCTCTGCTTTCTTCCCCTCATGCTTCCCTCTGGAAAACATAAAATCACAGAAAAATGTCTACTTTGTACCTGCAGTTCTGAGAAGGAGGGTTTCCCTCCCACTGGGACCACAGCCAAAAGTCCCAGCAGTGGTTGTCATGGTGCATTTGTCAGATAACAAGAAACAATTTGAAAGAGCATACAGGAATAAAACACTGGTGATCTTAGGAGAGCTTAGCGCAACTTCTGTGTCATTGAGATGGTAGTCTGGTGGCATCCGGGGGAAAGTGAAAATCTTTATCTTAAACAAAACTACATACATGTGTAAGTATGAGGAATCAGAGCTAAAATTCCGTCATCAAAGTGCACGTGCGAGAAATCTCAAGCAGCTGAGAGATGCGTGGTTTAGACATTTTAGTTGAACTTATATTTTCAGTTGAACAATATTTATTATATTTCAGCTGAACAATATTTTACTGGTCTCCCATAAAACCAACAAAAAGGATGTGCGTGGTAGAGCTGTTGAGAAGAGAGAAAATTTAGAGCTGGGATGTCAAATTTGCACAAAATTACATATTTTTGCTTCTGTCTACAAACTTAAAATCCCCCAAAATCTACAGGACTGATGACTGAGATTTTCAAATGCAAAGAAACATTTGTGAGTTACCTCACTTTGGATGCCCAACTTAAAATATTTGAAAGGGGACAAATGTTCAGAGGGAGCTCCTTCTCACCCACTGTCTGGAAGTCAGGCTCTTTTCAGTATCAACAATTGTATGCCACAAACCAAAAGCACCTAAAATTACCAGTGACCTTTTTAATTCTTTGTATGCATTTATAAATCAAGTGCCGTCTTCTGAAAATTACCCACTACTTGCAGAGCTCAACCGCTCTAAGACACATATTAAATCTATTCTGAAAGTCTTTAGTGCGTTGACCAATGCCGGAAGAATCTGGGCAAATTCTAATATTAATCTGGCTATACAAACAGGCATTGATGTATGGCAATTTGTTTGAAATTAGAAATGACAAGGGACAGAATCTACCTACTCTAGTTCCAGTCATCTATACTGAAGCATCTATACTAGCCCAGCTAATTATCCCAGACTCTGGTTGGGACAAATAGATGCCTGGAGGTTGTTGAGGGCTTTTTTCCGCACTGATGTATTTTAAATATGTACTCTGAGATGATACATCATCCCCTACAAATGCCTATTCTTCTTAGACTATTCCAATTCATAGGCATTGTTCATAGGCTATTGCCCCTACAAATCCCTGTTCTCCCTCTCCTTTTACAGGATGAGTCCCCAGAAGCTCAGTTGCCAGTATCTACCTTGTAGTTGTCAACAAAGAACCCAATCAAGCTCACACGAAAGTTTTTTCAAGGACTTTTTTGGTCCAGTCCCTGTGACATCTATAGGATGGATGTGGTGGAAGAAACACCATTTTCTCCACAGATGAACACAACCAGAAGGGGAAAAAAAAGCAATGCACGACAGAACAGTCTAATATCAGCCAACAAGCTGTACTACATAAACAGGCTCCCTAATTTCTTTCAAATGCATTGCTGCAGTGGAGGTCAGACACACAAGACTTTTTCAGGATGGATGAAGGGAGCCAGTGGGATGGGGGAGGGTTGTGATTTCCATTTGAAAAGGCCAGAGTCTGATCTCTGTTCCATCTCTGGTGTACATCTGGAATAACTCCATTCAGTAGCAGACAGTTGCATTTATCTCCACAAATCCGTCACTTGCAGTGATGTGAATCAGGAGTGGAAGTCAAGGGAGCTCTGCCAGTTTTCTAAGGAGCAAGCAGGAGGAGATGCAGACTGAGTCTGTATTTTAGTCCATGCCTTTGCGACTGTGTTTTCCCAGTTCAGTAATTTCTGCAATGTTTTCAGGCTCATGCTGGCTTCTCCCCCACCCCCAGAACAATGCTTGCTGATTTTTAAAAAGTAACCACTGAGACGCTCAGCTAGAATCTCAATATGTTGCATGCTAAATAGCTTCTCTAACTAAAAGAAAGGGTTATTTTTTTTGTTTTTTCTTCCTTTTCTTTCTGCAAGACATTCCCCCTACCCGCAAAATGCAAGGGCTGTTTGGACTCCTAAGAGAAATTAATGCATTTAAGGCCAGTGTTGTAATCATAACAATGACACAACAGGGGTTTCTGGCTTGTTTTGCATGGAAATAAATGATTTAATTTGTCTTAATGTCAAAATAGAACATTGGGTCAAAGCACTGGCATCCCCAGTGGAGGAAGGGCTTTATGTGTTTTCCAAGAAGAGCATGAAAGAACAAGGATGAACAAAACCTGACAGAAAAGTGAGTCTTGTGAAAATTTTGGATGCAGATATCTCTAGTATAAGGTGAAATTAAAACATAAACCTAAGCCTCTCGGAAATTGGACTTGGGTACATAATGACACCTTCCACTCAGATCAAGGTTTTCAAAAGACTGCTACCGGATTTTCTAAATTTTAAAATAGAGTAGATTAGAGTAGAGTAGAGCAGGGTAGAGTAAAATTTAATCGAATCGAATCGAATCGAATCGAATCGAATAGAATAGAATAGAATAGAAAGAACTATTTCAGTCAGAAGGTACTCACAATGATCATTTAGTCCAACTTCAGCCTCCCTCATTCCTAACTTTCCACCAATTTCAAACATAACTGTCATGAAAAAAACATTGCTAAGTTTGTATTTTCAAGGTGTATGTTCATGTCCATTCCTAACAGCTGTGTCTGCTGCTCTATCAGACCAGTCAATCTACTGACTACCAAGATGTGCAGGGTCATCTCTGGGAACAGCCCTTCCTTCTGGTCTTTTAGAAGAGGTACAGGGACTTTGCAAGTTTTTTTTCCCTAC